CACTACCTGAGGATGCTTTCATATAAATATGACCAATTAGGGCTTTGCTGTTCTTGAGAAGAAGATTTTTAAAGGTTTTTCCTATATATTTCTATGTAAAACTTTGATCCTCCATTGTGGCCCCGCCCTACCCCCGGGGGTCATGATTTGAACAAATTTGAATTTTTACTACCTGAGCATGCTTCTATATAAATATGACTCATCATGGCTTTGCTGTTCTTGAGAAGAAGATTTTTAAAGGTTTTTCCTATATATTTCTATGTAAAACTTTGATCCTCCATTGTGGCCCCACCCTACCCCCGGGGGTCATGATTTGAACAAACTTGAATCTACACTACCTGAGAATGCTTCCACATGAGTTTCATCTTCCCTGGCTCTGTTGTTCTTGACAAGAAGATTTTTAAAAGATGCTATTAATTTTTCACTAATTCTTTATTATCTCCCCTTGAAAGAGGGCATGGCCCTTCATTTGAACAAACCTGAATCCCCTTCACCCAAGGATACTTTGTGGCAAGTTTGGTTGAAATCGGCTCAGTGGTTCTTGAGAAGAAGATGAAAATGTGAAAAGTTTACGACAACAACGACGCCGACGAGGCCGACAGACAACGGACAAATTTTGATCAGAAAAGCTCACTTGAGCCTTTGGCTCAGGTGAGCTAAAAAAAATATATGTATATATACAGTCAGGGGTGAGACTGATATCCGTCATTTTTAAAAATGATGGATAATCGTCATGTTTTCTAACTATGTATTTTCGTCATTTTTGTCAATATGACTTACTATCGTCATATTTTCTTTTTCAACATAATTCTTCTATCCTGGTTACATAAAAGCGAAATTTGAATTCACCGCTGCAAGAAGAGTACGTAAGTTTAATTTCATCCGGGTCACTAATTACTGCCTACCACGTGCATTAGAACATCAACATGGAAGGTGAAAGTTTTTATTTTAGCGGTAAAATGTCGAATTTTGGTAGAAATATTGGGCCATTTTTACACTGCTTTTAGCCATATAAAAACATATAGTACACCGTCTGGAAGAATACGTACTTGTAGAGAAAAGTCTCAACAAAAAGTTAAAGCCATAAAAAAGTAGTGCGCCCCGTAAAACAAGTGAGATATTTCAGTGCGCCCAGGCCCTCCATTTTGAAAAAAGACGAAATATCGTCATTTTCGTCTTCTTTGGTTTTTAATGCAAATAAATTGACAAATAACTCTTCCACTCTTATTTTTGCTTGGGAAATTTGTACCGTCAACATAACCAGTCTTGTAGTCAACTGTATTAGAGAAATGAAGTTTGTTTACGATGTTTTTAGTCCTTTTTTCGGTTGGTGGATCTAACATTTTTCAAAGAGAGGTAACTAGGTATTCTAGAAACACTGTAAATTTTTATGACTGTTTTTTGTCATTTTCTTAAAAATGACGAGTTTTAGTCATAATAAAAATTTTATTTTATGACTAAAAATCATCATTTTAAGAATGACGGATTTTAGGAGTGAAACGGTTCACCGCGGTATCGATGCACCGCGGTATTTTTTCTCGGTTTGATACACGGTGCAAAATCTCTAATTTTCGGTTCGGTTCATTTTTCGGTCGGGATCGTTATTCAGTCGGGTTTGGCATAAGGTATAACACGTTACTCAGAATAAATAAGTATAGAAAACGTAAATTTTTAATGACTGATAGCTTGTAAAATAATTTTTGACAGTCAAATAATTTTAATCAATTTCTTCTAGTCAATTTGCAAATAAAATTCGTAAAATATGTGACTAGATTTAGAAAAAGAAAGCATAAAACAACGTAGAATTTGTTTCCTTCTATCAAAATGTATCGTATTGAAAATAACCGAACCGAGACAAAATTATACAATACGTATCGAACCGTGAAGGAGGTGTATCGTTTCACCCCTAACGGATTTCAGTCTCACCCCTGACTGATATATTCATTGCACTATTGTTATTTCAAAAAAAAAAAAAAAAAAAAAAATTCATAGGTACCTGGGTCTTGGTTTATAAATATATATGTACCTTATTGATATGTACTCTTTTTTTTTTTTTTTTTTTACATATCAATAAGATACATACATATTTATAAACCAAGACCCAAATACCTGTGGCCTGTTTTACTATAGAACAATTACATGCGACTAAGATCAAAAACTTCATAAAATTTTGCACAATCAATGATTCTAAATGAAATTATATTTTGGTCTTCGTTATAAGTTCTTTTGTAAAATGGTAGCTGACTCTGAATAACCACACGACACAAACATGCACAATGGCCAGTGGCAGTGGCAGGCCCCAGTTTATCCTATTCTCCACGTTTGCTATCGTATCTTTGAAAAGCACAATAGACGACAAAATACAAAAGTTCTTGGGATATATAAGTTCTTAAGGAGATAATTTAGCAAATTAATGAGGAAAATACGTACTATAAAGTTCTGTAAATATTGAATAAAATTCTTCCTTGCTGATAGTGATACAAACGACCTTCACCTTCGAATTTTTGGTAAGTCGTACGTTTACTATTCGTATTCGTGTGGTAATTTTCACTGCAAATCTCTGAAATAGAGGATTTTTTCTCATTTCTCTTTAAAAAAATAGTTTAATCTTATTTTTAATTGCATGTCGGAGACTTCAGACATAAATAATTTTATTGTCTTGGGGACAAATGTACACTTTATAGAACTGGAAAATCCAGCAAAACTTGGCAAGGAAAATTTTCAAAATCAAGCAAAACTTGGCAAGGAAATTTTTTAAAATCAAGCAAAACTTGGCAAGGAAGTTTCAGTCAGGGAGAGGGAAGGGACCAAGCCAAAATTCCTTTTAAAGCAAAAAAAAGGGGGGATGGTCATCAGACGTTACTATTGAGGGGAACACGCATAAAGTAGTTGTTTTCTATAGTATTCTACATATCAACAAAATTAATATTGGAGGAGCCCCCCCCTTTTCCTACAGCCATGAAATCATATATGTGTATATCTGCAGGATTTTTGTTAAACATTGATATCTATTACCTGAGTGAAGAAACCAGAAGAATCTTTATTGATGCATTCAAAATTACAAATGTTATATGATCATACATTTTTTTACATGTAGGAGCAGAGATCAACATATAAAACCATGCACAAGTTTTATATATCTCTGGTAAGAATAATTAAATTTATACATCAGACTAAATCACTGAAGGGGCGCAGTTTACACACTATCAGTGACGTAGAGTGGAAAACTTGAATATAGTTCAGTACAATGGCTTGATACATAAAAATCATAAGTTAATATTTTATGAGGGGGGGGGGGGGTCCCTTTGAGTTTGCATTTTTGAATTTCATTCCCAGTACTATATATACCAGGTATTTTAACATATAGGAATTTTGCATCATTTTTTCCTATAGTGGAATACTATAAAGCACTTTTTATTTGCAATAACATTATTTTCGCATTATGCTAGTTTTTCTGCTCCCCAAAATTTCATTCTCATGTATATTTATATGGTAAAGGATTAAATAATTTAAAAGCAATAACTAAATTTTTTGAAAATTCTGTCGCGATTATAAATGCCAAATAACTTTATTGCAAAAAATATAATTAAGGTGTGGGGAAAAGTTTGTGATCCACAGTACTTGAAAATAAAGAAAACACAGAGAGGGAGAGAGATATATATGCATATTACAACATTTCCTCATAACAAAACTGGTTTTAACATTTAATGCATTTATTTGTACATTAAATTAAATCAATGTTGACAAAATATTATGTCCTTATTGATTTTTTTTTTCATATCAAAATATAACACTTTTTCTAATCATTTCATTCAAATTTTTGAAATCTAAAATGATGTGAATGTCTTGAGATAGACAATCAACCAAAACACAAAATAAATCCCCAAAATTTTTAGCATTTTCATCCTGTGCACCAAAGAATAAATCCTTTTATGGCACTCAAAACCACAAGTGATATATATTGTACAAAATTTAATACATGTACACATATTAGTTAACATAAGCTGTAATTAACAGTTTAAAAATATTCACATAGAATAAAACTGGCAAATCACGTATAATACATGGCAAGCATGACTCAATAACTAGAACATATTACTCTTTGGAATGCAAACCATTCACAGCCCTTGCTGAGATAAAAGCTAAATACAGTCATTATACTGTACACTACATCAGAATTTAATACTATCAGAACTTGGTGAAAACTGTAAAAGTAATTAAAACTCAGTAAAAATGTAAATCTAAAAGGTCAGTTTTTGTTAAAAAGGATGAATGTGTATTGCACTGTATTATTGACTTAGAAAGAAACTTTGAGGTACATGTATTAAAGATTAATTACTAGTCTACAGTCAGCTAAAATGACATATTTGTACAAAAAGGTAATAATGTAATTATTCCAAAATCTTTGGATTTCTATCCCAAAACACAGCTAGTCTAAATATTTCTGTTTTGATCCTGACAAAGAAGTTTAAAAAAAAAAAAAACGCTTATAGCCAAGTGCTTCATTATAAACATAATTCGTTAAACCCATTAATTTCAGGATATTTTTCATGTGTGTTTTTTGGCTATCACTTTGCTGTAAGCATAAATTTGTTATAAGAAGGTTCATTATGAGCATGTTTTACTGTGCTATAAAGAAACAAAAAGAAGTGAAGAATCAAACAAAGCATGAATTTCAAAATCATCACTCAATTCTGGATTAAAACTGTATCTTTACATATATTACAAAACAACCATCTATAAATGCAGGAAACAGCAAAATGTTTAACAAATAACAATATATATCAAAAAATACACCTCTAATAGCCAGTGTGATCTCACGGAGATTTACAAGGACTAACCTTCTTAACATGATATTGATTTTTCAAAGGTAACTAAATATTATCCCACTATTTATGGTGAAAATGATGATGCTATAATAAATAAATAATAGTATGAAAAATGGACATTTGTTTTGTAAGTATATTACTAAAAACTTCACTAACACTTATAGTCACAAATCCTAATAAGTATGGTAATGATATAAATAAGATGACGGTAGAGGTAAGTAATATTGTATAAACGTCATTCACATTCCCCCTCAACGAATCCTCTTTTACTGAACACATCGATGTAATAATTCCCTCCGTTCATGATCAGCACAGTGGACATAACACCAAGGAATATACAGTGGGCCACGTAAAAGTTATACCAGATAAAGACGCCCGCTAGACTGACGATACAGAACAACCAGTTAAAGAAGTAAAACATGAAGGGACGACACCTGAAACACAAAGAAAACGACACTATAGTCATTTAATACTGGAACATTTTAGTTCATCAAATAAAACGCCATACACATGTACTTTCAAATTATAGATTGAAATGTTACTTATAACCATGTAACTTTGCATGAATATGAATTGAACATAAAATGCAGAAAAGGCAGAATTTTTTCTTTCTTATTCTTTCAAAATTAAAAAAAAATATTTCACTTTAGAATTAATATTACCTGTCACCACAAATATTGAATGTTTTGTACAGGCAGCTTTCCTGCTTTTTTCCAAGATAATTAAAACTTGTGACATACTCCTCACTAGGTTTAGCCACGATATGGATGACCAGAAAATAAATTCCCTGTTAATAAAAATATATAGTCGTTTTATAGCAATACATAGAGAAATGAAATTGAAATCAGAGCATAATGGATACTAGTACTATAATACATGTATGTGTAATGTATTTGTGCAAAAGTTATTTTAGACTAGGTTTAATAATACAATACAATAAAAGTGCAATTCAAATGATTAGGCTAAAAAATGAATTTTCTAAATAATTTATCAGGAAAGAAGAAAATGTTTAGCTGGACCGGGAATCTAACCCTGGACCCCACATCACTAGTCAGGTGCTCTAGCAACTGAGCTACCCAGGCTGATATCCATGGCCCAAACCATTACATTCCTCCCTCCTTAAATTGTCTTCACCCTCATAGACACAACCCAAGCTCTTATTTGCACCTGGCAGGACTTTCACCTGCAAGTCCAGGGGTGGTCAATGACACCAAATTATGTAAAGAAGTAGAAAAGAAGAGAAGAAAAGGTATGACTGGACCAGGAATTGAACCTGGGCTTCTAACATCGATATCTTGAATACCATGGATGTGTCAAAGTCATTTGGAGATCCTGGAACTTTTCTTAAGTCAACAATATCATAAGCCTTACTGTATGTGCAAAGTGTGGTACTATGAGTGAACGTAAGAATGATCAAGTATACATACACTGTGAATGAAGAAGCAAGCAAATGGCACCAGCAGTAACCAGATAGGGGACTCCTCTGACATCTCTGGTACAACAAACTCCTGGAACCAGTACTGGGAGACTTCCTCTCTGTACCACCGGATCCTGTATGGAATTTTAAGAAAATGTAGATATCACATAGTTACTCCACAGGGATCGACATTAATGGTTGTCCGATTGCCCGGGACAAGTAAATTCTCAGTTCGGGCAAGTGAAATTGTCGACGTACTTGTCCCATCGGGCAAGTGAATTTTTCTCATACAAATGTACATATTTATTTAGTTTACATTAATTTATAAATGAAACAATAAATTGAAGACTTGATTTCCCCCACGCACCTGACTGATAATGTTTTTGCATTCGAAATTCCTTGGTAGCGTTTCTGGATTATACGGCTCATTTAAAAATCGGGTTCGTTATTTTCTTTCATAGAAAATACGCTCTACCTCTGACAAATTTTTGTGAACTCCTTATTAGGAAATTAGATTATTTATTCAAGCACAGAATATAAGTACAGTGTAACACGATGTATCCTGATCAAGATAAGATGCATGTTTCGTAGCATCTTCCTTAAGCATTGCTTCACAGTTATATCTGAAAATCACGAATCACAAAAGGATCCTACCGAAAATAATTTTTAAAAATATGAATTTTATTAAAAGGAAACGGAGGGTTATTGTTGCATGCCAGTGTGAGTTAACAGGTTAAATTTTCTTTTCAAGTACAGCGTTATACATTTATGTACAAATGCACCATGCATCGACATTTTATTCAGGTAGCTCAACTTGCCAAATTGACAGTAGTGTACTCATATTTGGTCACATTTTTTCTTATCATAACGTTTACATTGATTAATAATTTTCTTCTTAAGTTCTTTCCTAATTTTGGGCAACCAAGTTTTGCATTCGTACAAGTCAAAATTTGAGATCACTTGCCCGAAGGGCAAGTGAATCTGAAAGTTAATGTCTATCCCTGCTCCATACATACATACCTGGTACATTCAAATGCAGGCAAAAGATGTTACAATCCTTTCTATACATATTTAAATATGATCCTTTAATAACAGTGTTATTTTTTTTCAAAGATGGAAAAATAATATATAGTGTCTTAAGATTCATGGTTCCATTATTATCATTTTTTAAAAAAAAAAACTTTTTGTAGTGCACAATATGAGAAAGACTTAATAAGCTGTTAACATAAAGTATGAAAGTTTAAATGCAGTTAGGCTACAGGGACAAATGATTCATTATAAACATAATTTGTTATTTCCATTAAGTTCTAGATATGTTTTAAAACATACAGGTAGTGCAAATATCACCTCATTATAAGCATAACTTCATTATAAATGTGTTTGCTGTAACCATGTTTTACTGTATTTAGAGTTGGAACCACTAGATATACTAGATATAAACAAATTCACTAAGATATTTCTGAAATGAAATAAATATACACAAACCCAAATGAAAGCAGAGCAGGCAGAATGTGTATGTATGCTGAGGTAACTTTGTCTGTACTGTGGAAGACTAGAGAATTTCTGTACACAACCATGGCCCAAATCAGAGGTCCGTTAGACAGGGCAAAGACAACTGCAAACATCTCACCACTGCCTGGAATCCTACAGGATCAAGTAAAAGTTTGTAATCAATTAACATTGACTCAGTATTGTAGCAGTAATTTATAATAAGATGAAAGAGTCAAATTGACCTCATGGACAGAGGTATTCAACATTTTTAAAACGGAGTTAATATTGTTTATGATATATGAAATAACTGCATAAAAGATTTACTAGTATAAAATTAATTATAAAATATTTCACTATATTACTTTTCTTTGTTTGGAGCTACAAATATATTAAGTTGTTAATTGAAAAATTATTCTATGATATTGAAGTTTAATACAATATAAGACTTAGAGGCATGTAGGGATGCTCCCTAAATTAGCCCTCTCCTGAAATATGTGACCATTCATTTTTGAGGATCAAAACTGAGTCAGACAAGTTCGTGCTACTTACCAGATAAAAATGTACCACAGGATGTTGGCATAGTAACAGAAGTCCAGTAGAAAATATTGCCACTTGTTCTTGCTGAAAGTACACAGAACATGGAATTACCCAATTCTGAGCCGTCAAATTCCGCTCAAGATTTCGACAACAAAAATTTTATTGCAGCTTTAACAATCAATACTATGGGGGGTTCAAAATATATGTATCTGTAAATTTTGTTTTTAACAATTTTCTGAGAATTCAATAAGTATTGTATTATTTGAGTTTTTTATTTTTATCTACATTGTACTTTATTGAACTGTGTAATTGACAAGATACTAATCGATTATCTGGACTTGACTTACCAGTACATGATAACCCTGATGAGGATAAGTAGGGGGGTACTAACAGCGTAATAGTACGGCAACAACCACTGGGCATACACTGTGGCATGTGTCAAAAATATAATGGTGATCACCGCCAAAACGTACACACACTTCTCGATAATCCGAGACTTCTTCCATTCCTACAACGGAAAATAAATATCGTGTACAAATGGTGTTGTCTCCCTTACACCAATGAGTTAGTCAGTGATGAATGAAATGAATCTGGACAAATATGTTCAGTGGTTTACTTGCCATCAGCAGATATCAAACCATTGTATATATTGTTCATTAAAAGTTTCTAAATCAATTATACACACTTGTAAACTACAAAACAATTTAAGATTTATATCTAACAATTAGTAATTTCTCACAATCTTTTTCCTTCTTCTGCCATGCATATATAAAACAGCAGAAAAAGGATTTCTAGCTCATTGTTACTTCATACAAACTAAAAAATTTCACAGAATTATTTTTGACAAAACTTGATGACTGACCAAACTTTCATTTAATAGCTGCAGCAACTAAGTTTTGCATGCAGATAAAACCAATAATTGTACACCAATGCAAATATGCAAACCCTAATGTACCGGTAATATCCACTTAGGTAATTGGAACTATATAGGAAAATTGCAAATCCATGTGTCATTTGAATCGAGTAGTACTCAAGTAAATTGCTTTGTGTATAGCAATCAATAAACTTTCATTCACAAAAGTATAATATATTGGTAGCACTTCATAATTTAACCTCGAATCATCCGCGATTTACCCTTATCATAAAACTATTTTCATTGCCTCTACAATGTACTTAAATAATCATTTTACAACTTACCTTTTTGCCATTTGTGACAGTTCTACCATTAGAAGATTCTTCTTCAAGTTGTTTATATTGCACAGAACTCTGTACCGATATCTGTACCATGTCCCCCATAGTTAATTATAGTACATACCAAACCCGCAGTCACAAAGACAACACATCTACTAGAAGTTTATCATCCTAAGTTTGTGTCTAATCTACTAATCCTTTAGCACATCATGAAAGAAGTGGCAAAAAGATCATCTCTTTATCTAACTCAGGATGTGTACAGTCGTCACCTGATAAAAGCTACTGCAGTACTAAAACACTTTTAGTCAGAGTACTGTATTCGAGTGTCAGTACTAATTGGGTTAAACAGCTGTCCAAAGGAGAGGCTGCTGGTCAAAGTATAAAATCCACCACCCAGTACACAGCTGATGTCAAACAACTTAGTAAACATAACAGCTGATGTATTAAATGTCCAAGTAAATAAACAACTACATGTAAAATAACATAGGGGTTTATAGAATCCAAACATATTGTCTGACTCAATAATTATCATGATTATATCCAAAAAATTTACATGCACCAAAAAATGACCAATTTCAAATGCTTTGTAGCATTATTAATTAACCAATGTTTGAGGCATAACAATAATAAATATCAAGCTTAGCATCTATTGATTGAAAAACATATGATGCACAAAATATGACATATATTTCTACCAGGCCCCCCCCCCCCCCCCCATTCGATTTTCTGGTCCGCTCCTGAATTAGTTTATTCTCATGAATTTAAGTCATTCATAATTATTTGTTAACTTTGATATGGATCGAATTATAACAAACTCATTAAATATGTGTATTAATGTATAATTTGAGGATCATTTATCAAGATACAGGTAAATGCACTATTATCAATACACAAACAAGGTTATTTATCCATTTGAGTGCCCTAGAAAAGCAGCTTACACATGTTTAACCTAAATAAATATACATATAGAGGTACTGTACATTGTACTGTTAGTACCGAGCTCACAAAATGATACCCCCACTCCCATATGCAACTAGTCCATTTTTTTGCTATGAGAAGACCAAAATATCTGTTAGATCAAAAAGTAGGAGGCGCACAAATGGCACTACAACTTGTTAATGTAATAAAGATTCTTGGAAGACATCTTAAAATTGTATTCAGTGGTATAGGGGGAGTTGCGGATAAGAAATGCATACCCCTGATATTATAGAAAAAATGGCAGAGTCTTTGTTTTACTATGGGAAACCTGAAACATGTGTCAAATGAAAAAGTACAAGCTAATTCAGAGAATTTGTGTCCCCTGCTTAATGAAAAAAGAAGAGCATGCACAGATCTAAGGGAAAGGGGGGGGGGGGGGGGGTCGCATCCAAAGCGAGAATCATATGCCCCTAGACCAACAGGTATAAATGAAATGCAAACAGCAGTCATATATACATGTATATGTTCATGTTCGATATTGTCAAAATTTTACACATGGTGTATAACTTAGCCTTTACTAAACAGTTCTAATAGGTGGAATATAAAGTCCGTTGACAATCTGTATTATATATAATAACTCTCCACATGCTCCTGTGCTATGAAAAGTGCCACGTGACTTTTAATACAAATGGGGAGTAACTCTAAAACTCTGAGCAAGATCGATGCCAACAAATTTCCAACTGACTTTTGAAAAAAATTGACCAAAACTAAAAAAAAGAAATGGGGCAGGACACTTTGAGAGGGGTGGGCAGGGCCAAAAGTTATGGCATAAAATTTCAAATGTAATTTTTAAGCTCAGAAGCTTCTTGAGATATCATCTAGAAACAAAAACTGTTACACACAGAATGTATGAATTTACAAACGTGACCTTTGACCTTTTGACATTAAAATCAATATGGGTCTTTTTTAGGCCATAGGCAGTTGTTAACATGGTTAAGTAAAATTTCAGTGCAAAAGCTTAAAGTCTTCTTGAGATATCGCGTGGAAACGAAAGTGTTACAGACAGATAGAAATACAGACAGATGGACAATGGGTGATCAGAAAAAGCTCACTTGAGCTTTTAGCTCAGGTGAGCTAAAGATATATATGGCATACTGAAATTTCTGTGATTTTCAGAAGATTCTGCAAATAAATTATTTGCTACATATAATAAAACTGTTATCTATTGAAGCATTCCATGCAAATGACAAATGTAGTATACACATAATAATTCATATTATAATGTATATAGTTATTGATTAATTCTGGTTCTTCATTACAGAAATTGAATCTGTAGATATTCTGTGGATGGTTGGAAATCAATTCTACATAAACAGAAATTATGTGCACTATTTAACTCTCATAAGGATCTTACTCGACAGGTGAATAGACATTCTCAAGCTAGGTCACAAAAGAGACCAAGAAAAATTCCCTAATGCTGCCAGCCAGTGGGTTTTCAAAGCCTATACCTGAAAACAAGCTTATAGCAAAGTGCCAGGGACAGACAATTTTGATTCGTTAAAAAAATCTTTAAACCAAGGGGAATGAAAATCACTTTGCTGTAAGCTTGAATTCATTATAAGCTTGTTTGCTGTAACCAATGTTGTTTTACTGTATATTTACCGTTTTACTGTATATGTTCAATACATTTTAGAAAAGATTACTGGAGTGCAATTTTTAATACAGAGATAAACATGTTCTTACTACAGTAGTAAATACCACAGCTACTGGGACTTACAAGCACAGAATGGATGACCATAAAGATTTGCAATTCATAACGAGTGCATACTAGCATATACTGATGCATTAGAAATACACATTTTTCTTAAATATGAGCAGATGAGTATAATCTGAAAAATCTACCCTTGTCTGATTACAGTGTATATAAAGGATATATTTTTAATTCAATAAACATGCCAAATACACTTTGAAACATCTGAATCCAAATAAGTTATGTTGTTACTGAGTTACTGTGGAATCATTTTATATCATGGGGGTCAATGTTCGTGGGCAAGCAAAATTTTGTTTGTTCGAGGGGACATAATTTCGTGGGTTACTCATTTATACGGTGGTCCAATGAATCAATATGTTTACAAAATAAATGTTTGTGGGGATGTAAATTCGTGGGTAAGGGTGACCCAAGAAATCCACGAACATTGGTCCCCCATAAACAATGATGATTCCACCGTAGTTTCTGTGGCAGATCCATGAGGAATATTCACTTGAAATCAGGGTGACCCCAAAAATCTGTTTAGTACCCTCACCATTTTTCTTTGTATGACGATTTGACAAGAACATTGCACAATATGGTATCCTCCAAAATTTAACATTACTAGAAAGAAAAATGATGTCCTTCAAATAGGAGTGGGACGATCCACCGGTGCACCGATGCATCACAGTATTCACTTTGACGATCTACAGATCGATTCATCTAATTTAGTATCACGATACCTGACTGCACTTTTTTTTTAATTTTCAAAAATGTCCGGGCTTTAGAATTCAAAATTTTTAGTCCTTTAGTCTGTATCATCAAGACGTTTAAACAAACACAAATAAAGTACAAACGTATTGCTGATACAGAATTCAAGATATAAGCGTCAAAATGGCGTCAGACACGCCGGATTATATTAAATTAACTAAGGATTTCTGATTAATTTTAATATAATTGACTGTAATTTGAGTCAAGAAACTTGAATTCACAGTTCATTTGTTGAATTAGTTTATTTTCATACACTGTTATGTTCCAAATTAAATGTTCTAAAAAAAAATTCTAGTTTTATTTGGTTTTAAATGTATCGTGATATGTATCGTATCGCACCTAAGGTATCATGATATGTATCGGATCGGCTAAGTTCAGTATCGTCCCAGCCCTACCTTCAAACAGAGAAATTCATTTTCTCCCTTAATCACAGTAACCTCATAGGAAATTGGAGGCAAAATGTTCAAATAAAATGCTCTATGGTACAATATATCTCCTATCACAATGATTACAAATGTTAGCCACAATATTTGTTACAAAAACATATGTTTAACTGATTAGATGCCTTAACTTTAGCCTGATCAGTTCAAATAGGGATCTGACATTGAAATCAAACAATTCCATATACAGTATTTGGCTTTTCTTTGGATCTTTCAATGTCTTCCACCTTGATCACCTCAAGATCATTTCCAGATAAATTACATTCCACAGTAGTTTCTGTGACATGAAGCAGAAGATGAAAGATTTTCTTTGATAATTATGGTGATCAGTGGACTAATCATGCTTATACACAAGTATGAGTTACTTTACACATGGTATATGTACACAGGGCCTGGGAAGGGGCTGCGCCATGCGCCATATGCGCATACTGTCGAAAAATTGCGCAATGAAATAATGGTCCGCAGTGCCATGCGGCGCACCCCACAAAATGTGGGTATGCATATTTTATTACTTTATAAGTTCATCGCAGTCCGCGCTATCTGGTATGCATATTTTATTACTTTATAAGTTCATCGCAGTCCGCGCTATCTGTATTCTTCATCGAAGTTATACGGAATCTGTGATGTATTACATGTATATAATATAATCAGGCCTTATGTGCTCAAAGCACGAAGAGGACTAAGTAAGTAAGTAATATAATCAGAACCATCATTCGGCATATTGATATCCACTGGCAAAGAAACAGTTTTTTTTTTTCATGTCGTTATGATTCGTAAGTGTCAAGTCGTTTTCGATGGTTGACCACAGCTTTACGAAAGTCACGGACATGGAAAATTTATATACCTTACAATGAAAAACCTTTTCAACGAAGTCCATTTATTTTGGCCTGTTCCCTGATCTCTAAATCGGCATCGTTAAAAAATGGTGCTTTTGGTTTTATAAAATATACTTTTTCTAAATTATAGTTGGTAGAATGTAGATGACGATTGACTGATTCAAGTTCTTAGAAACGGAAAAATCATTTGCACTAGTCAATGTCATATGACTTGTAAATTCCTATCGCATTTTTCTTTTTAATTTTCCTAAATTTTGTTGTCAGAGATATATGCATTATCATATAGCATCATACTATGATTTATTTTAGAATGGCCCCAATATATTTCCCCTCGGCCCCTTAAATTTCAAAATGGTCCATCATTTTATGAACAGTGGGGCCATTGGCCCCACCTGTTGCTTGACCCTCCCAGGCACTGTGTACAAAATGTCCTTGTATCTCTTGTCAAAAAGAAAAGGATCCATTTTCTCAAAACCCTTTCAGTAAAAATACAGGATCTGCCACTGTATATATAAGTTCTAACAAGATAGTTATAAGGTATTTCTTATACTTACTACTCATTTCAATGTATCTGAAAATTGTATATGTATGTGCAATGAACCTGCAATGAAATTATAAATTTTACTCCCCTCATGGTAAGATAAAAATACAGCACGTAAAACAGAAACTTTTTGCTTGTTAAGGAAGCTAAAAACACTGCAAACTAAAGAGTTCTAATTGTAGGGTAGTTTTATGTAGTTAAAGTGATCTGTCCTTAGGTGAAAGATAGCATTTATTGTCATCTACAGTTAATGACCGATTTGCAATGGATTAAAGTAATCTTAACATTATATTAGACAAAGATAAAGTACCAGAAATTGAATACATTATTAACATGTATAGTAAACAATGTTGATTTCTGTTCCCATATACTTTGCCTTTTAACTTTTTTCCTTGGGCCAATATAGAAGGATTGATGTTAATTGAATATGTTATGACCTGAATAAACTCAATTATGCTTTTTGTACACCTTTGTATGATATAAATTTTCTCAATGTCAATATATATACATATACATACATATATATATATATATATATATATATATATATATATATATATATATATATATATATATATATATATATATATATATATATATATATATATATTCATTAGAGTTTAGAGCTTCCATAACATGTAATATATGCAGAGAATTTCACGTACCAAGAGAATAGATCTCAGTTTATGCCATTTTCCACTTGAGTTCCTGGCCTCCACCCACTGCTCTGGCTTCACTTGTGGTCTCTCTGCCACTTCAACAGTTACAAATCTATCAAAACCAAATATAATAATACTGTACTTGTGTACTCTCAAAGAGATGTCAGACCCAAGTGGTATATAGATAACCACCCTAGCTCCCCCACCAGCCCCCCCCCCCCCCCCCAAAAAAAAGGAAATCATTAAACAATATATAAATGTATATAATATCATTGATGATGTCAAAGTCCTGTTACTTTTCACAAGCATAGGCACTTTGATCTTATGCTAAGCAGTAAACAACATATATTAGCATATGTTGATAATCCTCAGTGGCTTCACAGCCCTTTTTTCCCATTTTTGTGAGAGAACAAAAGGCACTACTATCGATTTAAATTAAATCGTAACATATAAAATAATACTTACTTATTAGTGTTTTCTTTTAGTGTATCTCTCATTCTAATTGTATTGTCTTTCAAGGAAAAATTTTACAATAACACCGTAAACACGTTGTTTGACATTTCATCATGTTTGGGTTTACCATAACTCCGTAAGTACATTACATTTGATAGGCCAAAAATCGATAAGCTGTTTTTAGAGTGAATTTGATTGGATTAATTTCTCTCGCGGTTTCTCGCGCGATATTTAATTTGAAAGTAGACAGATCGCGTCATAAACATAATCATAATGGAGGAGATCAAATGCGAGAAGCACAGTTAGTGATTTTTATTATAGCAGTTTTTACTTTTAACGTGATGGACTATTCCATGTTGGATCCAGACTTTTATATAAATTTGCCCTTTTTTGTCGAAGTTAAAGATTCACGTTGATGAACAATGCAAATTAAATGCATTAATATTTTTGTTGAAACGAAAACGAAAATAAAAAAAACTAGATGCGATCTCGTTGCGAGCAACGAGTGGGTCTTCCGTCCGATTTTTGATAAGATGAGATACGAATTTGACTGAGATTTTCGTTCATAAATGTATAAATAGTGAAAAAGTAAAATTTGCTTCAGTGATGTTTAACAAAATTTTGATCATTATGGCACCAGAAAACGTAATATTTGATGAAGATTTTAAAATATTTATAGTAGCACATCGTGAAGATGAACATTACTGTAAAAGGGTTATAGATGAAAGACTTTTAGCCCCTCTGAGCCCCTAATTCGAGGGGTCTTGATATCACATGAAAGGTCTTGTAATTCTGAAGAATTTTCGTTCAACAACTATTCAGTTTTCGAGATATGTAGACTTGAAATATTTAGGGGCCATCCCTTTAAGTCCTGATAGGGGCTGTTTGGGGAAAATACAAAGGATGCACATTGTTCAGATCATCATTCTAAACAACTTTTGTTCAATATTGCTTTTCAAAATGTTTCCCCTTTTCGAGATATAAAGCGTCAAAGATTAAGCATTCTGGCCCCTTATGGCCCCTAATGACGTAATATTTGAAGAAAATTTTAAGATATATAGTTGCAGATTGTGAAGATGAACATTTTTGCTTCAATATTTAATATCAAAATATTTAACGTTAAGGAGTTATAGATGAAAGACTTTTGGCCCCTCTAAGCCCCTAATTTGAGGGGTCAGCCCCTTTTTCTTGAGATCACTTGAAAGGTCTTGTAATTCTGAAGACTTTTTGTTCAACAACTATTCAGAAGTTTCGTTTCGTTTTTGAGATATGTAGACTTGAAATATTTAGGGGCCGTCCCTTTAAGTCCTTATAGGGGCTGATTAGGAAAAATTCAAAGGATGCACATTGTTGAGATCATCATACTAAACAACTTTTGTTCAATATTGCTTTTCAAAATGTTTCCCCTTTTCGAGATATAAAGCGTCAAAGATTAAGCATTCTGGCCCCTTCTGGCCCCTAATTACGTAATATTTGAAGAATATTTTAAGACATATAGTTGCAGATTGTGAAGATGAACATTTTTGCTTTAATAATTAATATCAAAATATTTAACGTTAAGGAGTTATAGATGAAAGACTTTTGGCCCCTCTGAGCCCCTAATTTGAGGGGTCAGCCCCTTTTTCTTGATATCACTTGAAAGGTCTTGTAATTCTGAAGACTTTTTGTTCAACAACTATTCAGAAGTTTCGTTTCGTTTTTGAGATATGTAGACTTGAAATATTTAGGGGCCGTCCCTTTAAGTCCTGATAGGGGTTGTGTAGGAAAAATTCAAAGGATGCACATTGTTGAGATCATCATTCTAAACAACTTTTGTTCAATATTGCTTTTCAAAATGTTTCCCCTTTTCGAGATATAAAGCTTCAAAGATTAAGCATTCTGGCCCCTTATGGCCCCTAATTACGTAATATTTGAAGAAAATTTTAAGATATATAGTTGCAGATTGTGAAAATGAAAATTTTTGCTTCAATAATTAATATCAAAATATTTAACGTTAAAGAGTTATAGATGAAAGACTTTTGGCCCCTCTGAGCCCCTAATTTGAGGGGTCAGCCCCTTTTTCTTGATATCACTTGAAAGGTCTTGTAATTCTGAAGACTTTTTGTTCAACAACTATTCAGAAGTTTCGTTTCGTTTTTGAGATATGTAGACTTGAAATATTTAGGGGCCATCCCTTTAAGTCCTGATAGGGGCTGTTTGGGGAAAATACAAAGGATGCACATTGTTCAGATCATCATTCTAAACAACTTTTGTTCAATATTGCTTTTCAAAATGTTTCCCCTTTTCGAGATATAAAGCGTCAAAGATTAAGCATTCTGGCCCCTTCTGGCCCCTAATTACGTAATATTTGAAGAAAATTTTAAGACATATAGTTGCAGATTGTGAAGATGAACATTTTTGCTTCAATAATTAATAACAAAATATTTAACGTTAAGGAGTTATAGATGAAAGACTTTTGGCCCCTCTGAGCCCCTAATTTGAGGGGTCAGCCCCTTTTTCTTGATATCACTTGAAAGGTCTTGTAATTCTGAAGACTTTTTGTTCAACAACTATTCAGAAGTTTCGTTTCGTTTTTGAGATATGTAGACTTGAAATATTTAGGGGCCGTCCCTTTAAGTCCTTATAGGGGCTGTTGAGGAAAAATTCAAAGGATGCACATTGTTCAGATCATCATTCTAAACAACTTTTGTTCAATATTGCTTTTCAAAATGTTTCCCCTTTTCGAGATATAAAGCTTCAAAGATTAAGCATTCTGGCCCCTTGTGGCCCTTATTTATGTAACATATGACGTAAAAATCATAATATATAGTTGTAGTTTGTTAAGATAAATAATTTTGCTTCAGTAATGTATACAAAAATATTGCTTGTTTAAGAGTTATCGATTAAACACTTTCGGCCCCTATTGGCCCCTAATGTGATGAGTCAGCCCTTTTTTCTTGGTATCATGTTACAGATCTTTTTATTCTGCACAAATATTGTTCAACATGTTTTAACAAAATAATTATACTTTAAAAGATATGATACAAAATGTCTCAAAAATTCACTCATGATTCGTGTCCTAAATTTTGACCCCTACCGAGCTTCCATACTAGGCACTTCCGGAAAATATCTAAACCCAGGTGCAATATGGCAAGATGTCCTCTATCATCACTGAAAATTTCAGCGCTCTAGCTTAAGCCGTTTTTGAGTTCCATCGCAGACAAGGAGGTGCTCTGAATTTTAATAAAAGGGCGATAACTCTAGACCGGAAGTAAATATCCCTTCACGGACTTGCCGGAATTAACTTCAAATGTCAACGCATCTACCTTGAAAATTTGAATGAAATCGAACGAGCCATCTCCGAGAAATCCTCTGCACAAATTTTGTAAGGAGAAAAAAGAATAATAATAATAATAACTAGATGAGATCTCGTTGCGAGCAACGAGTGGGTCTTCCGTCCGATTTTTGATAAGATGAGATAAGAGTTTGACTGAGATTTTCATTTAAATATAATGATATAAAAAAATTGTTAAGACGAACAATTTTGCTTAAATAATGTTTAACAAAATATTGGTCATTAAAGGGTTATAGATAAAAAATTTTCGGCCCTTCTTGGCCCCTAATGTGAGAGGTCACATTTTTCTTGATATCATCTTAAAGCTCTCATGACATTGAACACTTTTTGTTCAACAACTATTCAGAAATTCTGTTTTGTTTTCGGGATATATGCAAAAGAAATATTAAGGGCCGGCCCTTCAAGTCCTAAATGGGGACGTCTAGCAAAAATTCAAAGAGTGCATATTGTTCAGAATATTATTTTGAACGTCTTTTGTTCAATACTGTTTATCAAAATATGCTTCCTTTTCGAGACATATTGCACCAAAGATTATGCAATCTGGCCCCCTAAAGACCCCTTGTTGCGCAACATATGATATCAATATCATGTTATTTAGATAAAGTGTGTGAAGAAGAACTATTCGCTTCAGTAATATATTACAAAGTATTGATCATTAAAGAGTTATTGATTGTGTACTTTTGGCCCCTCTCGGTCCCTTATCCTTGATATTACCTTAAAGCTCTCATGATTTTTTTTTACACTTTTTGTTCAACAACTAGTCAGAAACTCTTTTTCGTTTCTGAGATATTCGCAAACGAAGTATTTAGGGGCCGGCCCTTCAACTCCTTAATGGGGACGGTTAGCAAAAAATGAAAGGTTGCATCTTGTTTAGAACATTATTTTGGACATCTTTTGTTCAATATTGCTTATCAAAATATTTCCCACTTTTGAGACATAAAGCGTCAAAGATTTAGCATTCTGGCCCCTTATGGCCCTTAATTATGTAACATATGATGTGAATATCATAATATATAGTTGTAAATTGTTGAGATAAACATTTTTGCTTCAGTAATGCATTACAAAATATTGATCGTTAAAGAGTTATTGTTCAAAGACTTTCAGCCCCTCTCAGCCCCTATTGTGAGGGTCCAGCCCCTTTTTCTTCATATCTCTTTAAAGCTCTCATGATTTTGAACATCTTATGTTCAACAACTAGTCAGAAATTCTTTTTCGTTTCTGAGATATTTGCAAAAGAAGTATTTAGGGGCCGGCCCTTCAACTCCTTAATGGGGACGTTTAGCAAAAAATGAAAGGTTGCATCTTGTATAAAACATTATTTTGGACATCTTTTGTTCAATATTGCTTATCAAAATATTTCCAACTTTCGAGATATAAAGCGTCAAAGATTTAGCATTCTGGCCCCTTATGGCCCCTAATTATGTAACATATGAGATTTTTATCATAATATATAGTTGTAGATTGTTCAGATAAACATTTTTGCTTCAGTAATGTATGTCAAAATATTGACCGTTTAAGAGTTATGGATTTAAGACTTTTGGCCCCTCTTGGCCCCTAATGTGATGAGTCAGCCCTTTTTTCTTGATGTCATAAAAAAGATTTTATAATTCTACACAATTTCTGTTCAATGTGTTTTCAGAAAATATTTACAGTTTTGAAGATATGATAAAAAAAAGTCTCGAAAATTCACTCCTGATTCATGTCCTAAATTTTGACCCCTACCGAGCTTCCATACTAAGCACTTCCAGAAAATTTGAAAACTGAGGTGCACAACTAGAACATGTCCTCTATTATCCCTGAAAATTTCAGCACTCTAGCTTTTGTCATTTTTGAGTTTTTGTGTAGACAAAATGGTCACTAAAAATTCGATTAAAGGGCGATAACTCCCGACCGGAAGTGAATTTCCAAAAATTAAAGAAAATGTATTAGGTTTACATCATGATACATCATCTCTAAAAATTTCAAGTGAATCCATCA